CCCCCCCCGCCCCTTTTTTTAATATATTATTATATTATCGCTAATAAAATAATTACATATATACACTTTTAAACTAATTTTATTATAATTCTTTACGTAATTTCATATATTTTATTTATTATTATTTTAGGAAGGAAATAAAATATAGTCATAAAAAGGAAAATAAAAAAGAAAAGGAAAGCCGAAGTTTTGTTCTTGCTCTTATATTTCCTCTATTCTCCGATTTGGTGCGATAAAAATCAATCTTCTTCTTTGCTTTCTCATAGTATCTCCTCCATTGCAATCGAATTGCGGAAGAAGAAGATGCGGCGTACTACAAGGAAAACCGGTCAACCAAATTCAACTTCCGTTAATTCTTCCGCCGTGGATCTCTTTCGTTCCGGTATTTGATTTTTTGTTTTCTTTTCCAGAATTCGAATTCTTCTACCTGTGATTATCGCCATGGAAATCGATCGTCGTGTTGTGTATATGTTGTGGTTAATCGCGTGCTACAAGCATGATTAATTACTTTCTTGATGGTTCTTTTTAAGGAGATTTGTGTCTTTTTGATACTGCGTGTAGAACTATATTAAGATTTTAGTTAGTCTTGAAATAGAGTGAAGGTTCAGTGGGACATGATTTATGATCGTCGTGTTGTGTTTATGTTGTGTATAGAAGTCCCTCCTTTCATTCTTGCTGGTATAAACTACATGATTTATGATCGTTTGTTATTCACAACAATCTTTTAATTCAACTCTCATGAACTTAAGATTCTCAATTTATTCAGCCTCAAGTAAAGCAAGCACAAAAGAGTTGGAACGGATCAATAGCCTATTTTACTCATATGCCAATGCCTCTTCTGGTTTGATCGAGTAAGTCAAATTTTGGCCCATGGAAATATCTCAATTTTCAGCATTGGTAGTTAGGTTTGCGTGGTACAAATATATATTTTTATTCAGTATTATACTGTTTAAATTCCCAGCAATATTCAAATAATGAAAATTTTTCCTTTTGTGGTTGATATCTCACGCTTACTCTTGTATAATAATACTATCCTTCTACATCAAAACTTCCCATCCATGTTCTTGTAATGATCAAGAAGGTTGTTTTCCTTATCTTTAAGGAGACTTCTGAATACATGTATAGATAAGATCCATTTGGTATGTAGTACTGACTATTTCTTTAACAGTCCAGAAGGAATTGAAACTCTTTGTTCAGACATGGAAGTGGATCACACTGATGTAAGGATCTTGATGCTTGCTTGGTAAGTTGTAGTTAGATTGATACGATAACTCAATATTTTTGTGTCTATGATCCCATTGCCTAGAAACTAATGGATTGCACATACCAGGAAAATGAAAGCTGAAAAACAGGGATACTTTAACCTGGTAAGAATGTTTACTCTCTTGTGGGCCTCCGAATATTATATAAGTTATACAGCAGATCTTCTTTCTCGTATAGTTCCCTTTATTTTCTGCAAAATGCATCCACATCATTGAATCCTTTCTATTCATTTTCTAATTAGTATGGTAATCTGTAAAGTGTATATTTTGTGTGTTGGGCACCAGCTTGTAAGGAAAATTCTTTAGTTTATGACCTAACTTGAACATACACTTCAGTTCTATGGAAAATTTTGTCATTTATATTCACAGCTTCAAATTATTTGGAAAGTTTTGTTTATTGTTTATATATCTTATTTTCCTCTTGTGTTTACTGTTCTCTTCCTTTTCTTTCATCATGCCCATGTTCCATCTTATTATATATTCTAATTTCAGTTTGAGACATGATGAAGCATTTAGTCCCTCGTGCCCCCTCCTTAGTAAAGTCATTTTATGGAACCTTAACCTATTGCTTATTCTATAGGAGGAATGGCGTAGAGGCCTCAAATCCCTGAAGGCTGACACTGTTAGTAAACTAAAGAAGGCACTACCAGATCTCGAGAAAGAGGTACATTCTTGTCTTTTTAAAAGTTCAAAAATAAACAAGTACATATAGTTGGTGGATTGCTGAATTTTTGCACATAAAGTTCTTAATTATCAATACCTCACATTTTGAGAAGGTAAGGAGGCCATCAAATTTTGTGGACTTCTATTCATATGCATTTCGGTATTGTTTAACAGGTAAACAGATTATTTTAGTGTATTTTTTATTTTGAAGATCGGTTCATTTTCTTCTACTCTATATAATTTGATATTTACGTTTTCTTTAATCCATGTAACTTTTTTTTTTTTCTTAGAGGAGAAGCAAAAGAGTATTGACATAGAGAGTATATGCGAGCTGCTGAATCTTGTTTTAGGGTCTCAGTTTCATGCTCAAGTCAATTCATTTGTTGAATACTTGAAGGTGAGTGCTGCACTACGTTTGTGTCATCTAAATTGCCACATTTATCCATGGGCATGGTTCATTTGCCACTGCAATCGACTCCACCTCTGCCTCAAAGTACTTCTACATATTTAATAGTAGCACTTAGTCTGAGAGAGTTACATTCTTGAGTTTTGGCCTCTCTTTAGCATACATAGTGGAGCACACTGCCCCGTGTCGATAAAATTGACTTTACCATATTTCTTCTGTTAGCTTAAGCCATAGCTTTCTAGGCAATTCGTTTTATGTTAATCTGCTTCTCACAAGAACTTAAGCACATGGGTAACCTTGAAAGATATAGTGTAGAGTAACAAAATTTTCTTGCTTTGATTATTATTATTTTTTTTTGGGTTATTGGTTGTTTAATACCCTGTTTGTTGTCTTCCCCCTCATCTAGGCAGAATAAAATTTATTTCTTATTTGCTCGTATTATGTATGCAGATACAAAGTGACTATAAGGTTATTAATATGGATCAATGGATGGGATTCTTTCGGTTCTGCAATGAGGTATTTTGTCTCTCCCTTTCCCCTCAAAGCACATTAACACAATTCATTATATTTGCTTTCCATCTTCCCCACCCAGTAATCACCATGGACCATGGGCTCAATAAGAGCCATGAAAACAATAAAGAGTTTAGAGGGAATAGTTTTAAGACATGATGACCACCTGCCTATGAGTTTTCTTGACAACCAAATGTAGTAGGGTTAGGTAGTTATTTTGTGATAATAATCGCAGTGCACCTACTAGAAACATGCTCTGAATATAAGAAGAGAGTCATTGTCAATCCAATGATCCTATCCCTTTTATTCAATGAGATTGGTATTTAAATTTATATATCTATATATACACTATATATATCTAAATGTACAAGCTTAACTGAGGTAGGAGAAAAGCCAGTGAAGTACAACACAAATAATATATTTACAAAACTATAATTATACTAATCTAAGAACTATAATATTTATATTTTGCTTGCCTTATGAACCTAAAAATACAGAAAACTATTAAATTGCTAATTGGGCAATCTAGGAGGGGATCAACTCATCCTATTCGATTAGGGCCACGTGATAATAAACATAGAAGGAATGTGTTCAAATCATGGTGGCCACCTACTTGGAATTTAATGTTACTATGAATTATCTTAGCAATCAATATGTAGTTGGCAGTTATCTCGTGAGAATAACTTTATCTATCCACCCCCATTTGATTTGTTCGTTATTGATATCCTCAATTCAAGTTGTGACCCATGAATCATGATGATCATTGTGCAGATAAATTTTCCGGACCTGAGCAATTACGATTCGGAACTTGCTTGGCCGTTGATCCTCGACAATTTTGTTGAATGGTTACAAGCAAAACAAAGTTAAAAAACCGAATGTCTTCATCATACATTGTATACTCCCACAGTCGTTGAAGGCAAGTATCCTATTCTCTTACGCACTTCATACTCAATGTACGTTGTTGTTTCGAGCTGACCACATTTATTGAACTTGTTCTTTCTGCAGGCTCGCTTGGTTGGATTACACATTGCATAGCAGCAGAATTTTCACTTATTATTCTTTCTTTCACTGTTCTAACTTCTTTGAAATCGAGGATGATTCCCATTCTTATGCTAAAGTTATAATTTCAAACATTCATGGATGATTCTGCTAAAGTTTCCTCCCAAGTCCCCCACCCTGTTTTTTTTTTGGTATCCATTCTTCATCTTAGCCCTCCAATTGACTTGACTATTTTACTTTTACTTGTAAGAACAGCTCAAGCTGAAAATTTTCTAACAGGATAAGTGTTGGAATATTTTTATT